CCGCTCCCGCCCCGCCGCCGCGCGCGCCCGCTCTCCCCGGAAGTCCCAGCTCTGCGCTCCCGCACCTGCGCCACCGGCCAGCGGGTCCCACGCGAGGCCTGCGGCCCCAGCTGCAGCCCCGCAGCCACAGTCAGTGCCGCACGACCCTCGTCCCCGCGCTCCGCTCCCGGGCCGCGGCGACGCGCACCAGCAGGTGCAGCGGGGGCGCGCGCTCTCGGCTCCCCGACTCCGGGGCGAGCGGACATCAAGTGGCACTGCTCCAAAGGCCTGCGGTGGCCTTCTAGAATACGTATTAGCGTGCCAATGAGAACAGATCTGGCACAACTTTTAAAGAAAAGACAGGGAACACAGGTGGACTGAAATCCTGAACCTGAGAGATAAGGAAGTGTATTTGATTACATCTAATCCTGCGCTGAAACCACAGACAGCAAGAACACCACTGCTCAAGTCCGCGGCTCAGCACACCTGTAGGTCATTTGAGTCGTTCCTGTCTAATGAATGCTGAGAAACTCCTGATTAAGCAAAATGAGTAATTTTTTTTTTTTTTGGTCTTTTTGAGACAGGGTCTCCCTGTAGCCCCAGCTGGCCTAGACCTCACTGTGTAGACCAGGCTGGCCTTGAACTCAGAGATCCGCCTGCCTCTGCCTCCCGAGTGCTGGGATTAAAGGCGAGCACCACCACGCCTGGCTAAATGAGTAATTTTACTAGATAAGTACTGAACTTTTGAATTGGAAACTTTGATCAGATATGGAGTCAAATCACAAGAGCAGTAGCTTGTAACTCGAAATAGAAAATAATTATTTAGTAGACATGCAAGATTTAAATTATGTTGGAATTCCACAGAGTAAGTTCTATCTTTTACAGGCTTATGTTCTTCTACACACTGGGGCCAGGAAGGGACCTTGATGTATTTTCAGGTGTTCTTAACATTCCATTATTCTCAAACCAATAGTCAGCATTCAGTTTCCACTTTCAGACCCTCCTGGGACCTGTCTGTCTCCCAGTGCTTTCATCTCCTGGTCTTCCTGATTGAACTTTAGTGAGCACTCCACCTACCCAACACCCCCAAGTGCAGAGAAAAATATTACTACTGCTGACAGCAAACACAGGCAATGCCATTCACTAGAAATTTTCATAAGCAACAGACTTATTTTTTATTTTATATTAGAAGATCAAGTATGAAGGTATTTTGAACCTCGAATATTGATGATGGTGTCATGAAATTCAATATTTCTTTAGGGAAGGGTGGAGTGGGAAGGAGAAGAGGAGGGAAGGTTAAAACTGCTTCTTAAAGGTTGTTTTTTATAATGCTAGGCATTTGTTCCTCAACTGGATTTTGTTTTGTTTTGTTTTATCCCTTTAGAATTAGAATATATTGGACAGTGTACTAAGTGTAAAGAGAGATTTACAATCTAATGATATTGTGAGAGACGAGCTGAAGAAGAAAAAAATGAATGCTGGGTGTGGTGGCACATGCCTTTACTCCCAGCACTCTGGAGCCAGAGGCAGGTGGATCTCTGTGAAATGGAGGCCAGCCCGCTCTAAATAGTGAGTTCCAGGTCAGCTGGAGCTCTGTCGAAGAAGAAGGTGGGGGAGGTAGAGGGAGAGGTCTTCTGGTTACAAGCAACAGTAGTTACTTGATTCAAATTGAGCAAGGGGCACTTGCTTGGACAGAAGGTTATGGGGAGCTTGGGAATTGCCAGGAGGCATTCCTGGATAAGCAGGCTGAGGAGTCAGTGGGATTTAGAGTGACTCCAGAGGGCACAGGAATAGTGACTGCAGGATAATCAGTGAAGGAATATTATGACTGGAAGGTGTCATCGACAAAATATCAAGTCCACATAACTGGGAGTCTTTACACTCCCAGTTCAGATCCCAGCTTCCATTTGTCCTCACTTGGAGCCTTTGCCTGTCCCTGAGGTGGGCAAGGGTCAAGTGAGAACACTTGGGCAGCTAGAAAATAGCAGGTATTCACAATAAAACATGTGCTGGGTGAGTTGAGCTGGGAAACACTGAGAACTAGATGCCATACACAGAATTGTATAAAGACTGAGATCTTCCCCTCAGGAAACCTCTTTCCCTTTCCTAAGTGCTCTGGAGTTTGCTTGAGTTTACACTTATTTTCAGTTTACTTCTTATGCTCCATAAGTTTTTGTAACTTTTTTTTTGCTTGTTTGCTTGTTTGTTTCCATAAATATAATGTTATCCAAAACCTCCATACACTCTGTATTTTAACAGCTTTGTGAGAATCAGGGAGAGTTGGAAATGTCTGTAGACCAATCAGATTTCACTTTAAAACTACATCATATTTCAGGTTCTGACTCCAAGATGACCAAGAGAGAAGAAACAAGGTCATGTCAAAAAAGACCACTGCCAGGAGTAGGTGGTTCACTGCACAAACTGAGCAGGGTCTGTGCCTAAGAACAAGGCCATTAAGAAGGTATCTCTGTAGTAGGGTAGAGAGTCTTTGAGATATATGCCTGAGCATATATCACTGGATCATGTGGTAGAATGATTTCTAGCTTTTTGAGGAATCTCCACTCTGATTTCCATAGTGGCTGCACCAGTTTGCACTTCCACCTGCAGTGGGTAAGAATTCCCCTTTCTGGAAAGCTCATCCACTGCTGGTGGGATTGCAAACTTGTGCCACACCTATGGAAATCAGTGTGGAAAACTCTTAAAAAACTAAAATTAACCTGACTATTCGACCCGGTTATATAACCCCTTGGCATATACCCAAAGAACTCGTCCTATTGCAGAGACATTTGTACATCCATGTTTGTTGTTGCTCTTTTCCCAATAGCTAAGAGATGGAAGCAACCAAGTGTCCCTCAGCTGATGAGTGGATAACGAAAATGTGGTACATTTACACAATGAAGTTCTACTCAGCACTAAAGAAAGATGAAATCATGAAATTTGCAGGTAAATGGATGGAACTAGAAACTGTTATACTAAGTGAAGTAATACAGACCCAGAAAAACAAATGACATATGTTCTCCCTCACATGTGGATCCTAGCACCAACTCCTTATATGTGAGTATGTATCCAGACATAGCTACAGGAGCTAGGATAATGGAAAGAAACCAGGGAGGTAAAAGGAAAGAAAGAACCTGAAAGAGAAGAACAGTAGGAGACAGGTGTTACTAAGGGAGAAATTGATAGAAATAGGGCTACTTAAAAGGGAGGGAGGAGAGAGGGCTCTACAGGCAACCTTGGGGATAAAGGGAAAGAAGCTCAAGAGAGGTGGGACCACAGGAGACTAGTATTAGCAAGGGAGAAATGGGGAAAATAGGGGCACTTTAAATGGGGACACCATGGTGGAAGGGTTAGACATGGAGAGAGAGAGAGAGAGGGCAGAGAGATAAATAATGCCTAACTAGTTTTTAAAAACCAGAAGAAATCATATTAGTCCAACAACCTAATGACAAATTACACATACAGTATCTCTACATGAGTCTGTGTGTATAGCTAAAGGCTACATAACAAGAAACGGCGCCAGCCAGGAAAAACCTTCCCTGTGTTGTTGGCCAAGGTATTCCAAGAGACTCCCAAAATTATACAGGCTATTGCTACAGCCCTTCATGGCCTCCCCGAACTTGAAGGTAAGACCCTGGAACATACTTCGGACACAGGATTTGGAGCAGTAGAGCTGGAACTGACCTGAAGCCACTTCCCTGTAGGCGGCTCTCACAGCTTTGGAGAGCAACATGAAGGAGAAACATCAATCAATGGTCCAACACCAGCTTCAAGACCAAATATCAATATCAATGGCCAGCACAGCATATGTCATTGGCACAGTAGTGGCACTTTTATCTTGGGGGCAATCAACTGCTACCTGATTGGACTAAAAGCCCACTCAACAGTAGGAAACTCAAGTGTCATATTGTAAACATAACCAAATATACATGGCTAGAGTGGTCATAGATCTTAGAGAAAACCCCAAGAATGTCATGTCATATCCCTAGACTAATGTAATTTCTTACTATGTGCAAAATATGTATCTTTACATTTTCAGACAAATATCCCAGTCACCACTCTTCAAAGAAGCTTATTTTGCACAGGTCGGAGACTATTACCAAGTACTAAAACTGGTCACACACAGACATCGTCTATGAATTGCCCAGGCTTAAGTGATACATCTACAATACAACCTCTATACCTAAGGCTCATGGAATATAAAGCAGGGGTAAAGAAGAGGACAATAATGAATCTCTCAGTTTTCACTAATGAAGCTTTCTTCAATAGAGGGCCAGGAACACAAAAGGTCACAAATGGCCAAACTGTAGATAATTAAGAGTTTGCAGAATGCTGGTTCTTGTACAGAACTCCTATATTAAATGTCACCCATGCAGGGCTCAGGGACCATCATGGAAGAGGGGGGCGGAACTATTGTAAGAGCCAGGGAGGAGATGCATGACCATATGGAAACAGAGTCCTACAAGATCCTGAGACCCTGCTCATATGATTCTATGGCAATGGTGTCAGCATGCACAAGTTCCATGCAAACTCAGGCAGACAAAAACCCAGCATAGAACTGGGGAAATGAACAGCAGACCTCAATGTTAGGTAAAGAAATATTGGCAACTGCTTGCTACTAGGTGAGAAAGAGCTGATCGTCCTAAAACAAGGGACTCTAGATAGGCTGACTAGACCCTCAGTGGATGGACTTGCACTAGGGAGTGTCTGGGGACACTGACTTGATACAGTGGTCCTTAACA